CCCCATGAAACAAACACTATTAAGTATAACATGTCACATGACAAGTACTAAATATGGGAAGACCAGAGTATCCCTCGCCGTAAAAAAAATGGTATGGTTGTTTGCAAGATGAGAAAAAGAGAGAGAAGAAGGACTGTAGATTGGTCAAGGTTTTTTTTTTACGGGTTTGAGGGTTTATTGTTAATTGAATTGAACTTTTTCCAAATGGCATTTCAATCATTTTTATTTTGAAATAGCAAAAGTAGGGAGTTTGTTGATAAAAGCGCACTAGATAAAGGGTTTTCATCTATACTTGATTGGTGTTAAATAAAAATTTCAAAGTTAAGGACCACTACCAACAAACACACCCTAGGGCCTAAGTTAAGGAGATTACGAGAATTATAATAGTTGTCATGGTTTTCTAAATGAGAACTTTTTGAAGTTGATCCTCTCATAGATTCAATCACCAAAATCAACCTAGTATAAAAACATTTATCAAAATCGACTTACTTTTAGCCGTATAAAAATAGTGTGCTAAAAGTGGGTACATTTTGAAAAAAATAAGGTTTTTCACTCTCCATGGAATTGGCAATTTCGTATTAGATTAAGTGATAATAAAAAACTATGTGATAGCCAATCCCTAGAGTTTACCTATCATTTTAACTCCGTCATTTGGCAAAGAGTTAAGAATGAGAATGGTTATCATAGTTAGTCCATTTGTTAATTTGAAAAAGTTTGCAATTCTTTATGTTTGTTTATTAACACTTGTTGTCATTTTATGTGTTTGGGAATAAAAAGAATTATGACCGTTTTCTTTACAAATAGAGGGGTTATCTCTAATTCCTTCTAAACATGTGTATTTGTAAACCCTTCGTTTTGAGGGGTTAACTTACGTTTCTATTATTTTTTATGTTTGACAAATTATGAGGGGTTACCTTAGTTTACACCATGTATAAACTCTTTGTAATTGGTAGGCTAATGAAGAGTTAACTTGAAAATACCTCTGTAAAAGACACATGTCTGCCAATCCCGTGATTTTTTTGAAATAAAAACTCAAAGGAATTGACAATCACAGTTTAAGTGAGAAATAATCTCTACGGGATTGTCAAACCCGTAGACTCTCGAAGGCAATTTTTTCAAAATTGCCTTTGTTTCAATATGTGTTGTTAACGTGGCTGAAATTAGGTCAATTTTGATATATAATTTTAAATTAGGTTGATTTTGGTGAAAAAATTATGAAATGATCTATTTCAAAAATGTTCTCCTTTTCCAAATTTAACTCTATTATTAATTGGACATCTCTAATTGTGATTGAAGATACAGAGAGAGCAGCTACTGATATTGGTTAGCAAAAATCCCCGCAGAGTCTGAGATAATCGGTGTTAGGATCGTTCGCACTAAAGACCTCAAAAATTACGCCATCTTTAACCTTCATATCCAAAATTATATTTTTTGCTCAAAAATTACCTCAAAGTTTAAAAAAAGTTTAACTCTGATATCCCCTATCCCTACTAGATCATTTTCGCATATTAGCATAACTTTTTTGGGGCTCTGGAGAATTCTTTGCACAAGAGAAATTGGGAATCAAAGTTATAATGATGTAAATTTTAGAGTATTTAAGTGCCATTAATCCACTTTTTTTTTAGAAACTATGTCTTGGGAGTAGTAAAACATGAGTTGACACAGTTATTAGTACATCCACTTGATCTCATTAGGGGGTGTTTGGTTCATTTCCCAAAATAATAGTAATAGGAATCCAGTACTAGAAGACCATTTCCAAAGGCTTCTTTGCAATTCTTGAAAAAACATTTTTTTTTGTTTGGTTAGGTGTTAAATATTGGGCGAAAACCACTTCTCATCATTTTTTCTAGTTTGTTTCAAAAGCAAAAAATATGAACTTACAACATAAATAAAAGGTTTCCTACATTTGTTTTTTGTTTTTTTTTTTTTTGGTTCGCTGGCTAGCACCCCATTAAAATGGGATCATATCCTATAAACAGCGCCCCTTTATACACATTTTCCTTGGTATTCTTTTGAACCAAACAGATTCTACAATGCATCTCAAGAAAAGCTTCTATATCGCTATAATAACTTGAAGTATTTTCGTAGGAATCAGAGGTCATGCATGTTTTTTTCTAATTTGATCCGAATAATGACGTATTAAATATTTCATCAATGTTATCCAAAACCAAAGCATCATTTATTTAGTTAGACTATTTTCTCTATTTAGATACTGCATCCCGTTCTTTGGATGGTTTGGACTATTGAATGAAAGTAAGTTATACATTAAAAATACATTTTGAGAAGATGGTGGAAGTCATTATTCGATATAACTCAGTTATAATAAAATATATCATCATATAAGTTATTTAGGAACACTAAGATTTTGAAGCGGTATAATAAACTAATTTAAATATCACTTGGAAACATGCAAGTCTACTAGTGAAGCTAGGATTTAGTCCTGTTCTTATATTACTTATCACAGTTGTTCTTGAAATATGCATTTGACAAGTTTATAAGTTTATCTTTTCTAGTGACATTCTATATTAGTCCTAGTTGTGCTCTAAAAAGCAAATACGAAAAATATATGTATAAAGCAGACAATCAAGCGATATCCTTTGCACCATTGGTCAATACGTGACTCTTCCATTATGCAAGTCAACTAATATAAATTAAATAAAAATTTATTATTTTTTTGGGGAAAAATATAATTGCTAAACATCGAGTTTTCAGTACTATTAAAAGGTGACTTAGAATCTATACTACGACATAAAATACTTAACAAGGGTAGGAAAATTTGAAAGGCAGAGGAAACTTGTGATTCATCTCACTGAAGACATAAGGAGGATTTGGTCATTTCATGCAATTTTATTTTTTTCTTGTCTCTTTACATATTTCTAGAAATTCCTAAAACCCATCCTATAGCTTCCTAATTGCATATTCATTACATCATAATATAATACAATAATATAAAAAAAATAAATTTTCATATAAATAAATACAACAAAAAAAATTAGAAATTAAATATATTACAAGATAAATAAATATTTCAGAACCAATTTCAAATAAGCTAAAATAACATATCACATATTAAATAAATAAACATTATAAAAAATTCTTAGAAATATCTATGATACTTTAATGTATTGAAATGAACTTTTTATATGGAAATTAGAATAACTAGTTTTAATATCGATCGCACATGCGATAATGCTACTTTTGGAGATCTACAATCTAGAGAGAAGTCATAAAGAAAACCATATAAAATGACATTTCATTTAGCGTAGGGTAGAAATGAGATGCAAATGCCCTGTTCGACCTTAGAAAAGTTTCTTATGTGCTCTTCAAACTTAACTTCTTTGCAAAACCTCCCAAATTGAAAATTTGTAAATTCATCTCCTTGACTGATTTTTGACATTTATCATTTGGCAACTGATATTGTCGAGTTTCAATAAGCATGCAAAATAAATTGGCCATATCTACCTAATTTTATAAGAGTAAATCTGAAAATACGAAAGATTTGGGGCTATGGCAAAAAAAACCTTTAATAAAAGACCCTTTTTAATAATACACCCTCCCAAACTCCTATTTTAAACCCCAATGTCCGCTTGCTGCTCTTCAAGCACCCGGTCCTTCTCCTTATTCTTCCAAAATCCCAAAAAGAACCTCTCTTTTCTTCATCTCTCTCTTCGTCCTTGTTGCTCCATCATGTCTTATCGCCCCAACTCCCACG